TGCAGTGACACAGCTACCTGCAATTTTGGACTCTCCTTAGGGATGGTGGTGAGGAGGGCCGTCATCATAAGCTCCTGCACTTCAAAATATGCCACTGCAACACTGCTTCAGATTTTATTCATATTTACTCAGAAAGGGTACCAATATTGAATTCAAGGGGACTTACTCTACAGCTAGGATGAGGATTTTGTGTGGGCCTCTGTATGTTGCTGAACTATAACTCCCATCATTCCTGGGAGACTAGGAATGGAGGAGAAATTTGATTCAGTTTGGATTTAAAGGTGAACTTAGCTAAAACACAGCCATCCTTCAAAATCTGGACTTTGTCCAATTTGTGCAATGCAAGTTCTCCCAACAAGTAATATGTATAAAAATGCATATATGAAAGTGTGCTTATGTCAGTGAGCACACACAAAAATCATCATATTACGGGAAATGGCTTTGCAAAATGTTCATTTCCAGCAAAATGTTCATATCTGGCAAAATGAGCAGTAAAATGACGGATTTTCATGAGGATTAAAAAAAATTTCAAAATTATGTGGAAATGTGGAGAAAGGCACTTAAGACTGGGGAACAAATGAGAAACTTTGAGAAACTGAAATGAATGGATTTACCCATCCTTCCTTACTCTACTGTAGGATGGAGAAGCGTGGCTCTCCAACAGCAGTTGGACTACAACTCCCATCATCCCCGACTATGGGACATGCTGGCTGGGGCTGATGAGGGCCACAGGCTCCCCATCCGTGCTTTAATCAGTCTTAATAAAAAGCCAGAGCTGGCACTCAGGCAGAGACACAGCTTGGAGTCTCATTTCTGAATGGTGCTTCTTATCTAGGGATGGGGAACCCCTGGTCCTCCAGATGCTGTTGGAGTACAACTCCCACCTTCCCTGACTATGGGCAATAGTGGCTGGGGCTGACAAAAGTTAGAGGGCCACAGCTTTCCCAGGGGGAAGCTTAAGAGCTCAACCAACTTCTCGATGTTTAATCATGAGCTGAAACAGACCTATCAAACAGCCAATAGGTGGCACTATTGGGCTTCCTCTCTCTCTCTGTCCCTCACCTATCCACCGTATTTTCCCCCAGCCATTTCCCAGACAATAATTGTTCACGAATAAGAAATTGAAAAGAGGGTAGGAAGAGGATTCAATTTTCCAGCCACCTCTTCCACACCACACACACAGAGAGCTCCCCACTCCTTTAAACTTTGGGTCGTGCTTGGAGATTTGATTATCAGGGAGGTGGTCTGGAACAAAGCAAAGCAAAGCAAGAGGAGGAGTAAAAGATCAGAATAAATTGCTCGACTCGGTTTTGTGTTGGTTGCATGTGGCCCAGCTCACAAAGATGATTCACATTTAGATCTTAAAGCAGGGCTAACAGAGCTCAGAACCAATATCCACATGCCCTAAATAATTTCCATACCAGGAGGAGAAAGGCCCTCTGCATATGTTCAAGGAAACTCCCCACATAAAGGCCACCTCCCTGCCAAGTAGGTTGTGATAGATGCCTTGTATATCCATGGGCTGCACTGCCACTTGCTCTTTCTCTGGTTGTTGTGAAGTTAAGACTCCGTGGTGTATGGGGAAGATAAGATAGGGAGACAGAGGTTTTCCAATTAGTGTTCAGGTGTGTCCAAGAGACCAGCCCTCAAACATGAAGTTCACTGGGTGACCATGTGAAATCGGTCACCCTATTTCAGCCCAACCTACCTCACAGGATTGTTGTGAGGATGAAAGGGTATGTGTGCGCCTTCCCAGGAAAAGGGGAGTTTTAAGACAGGAGATCATTAGGTTCTGCTGTTCTTCATTACGACACTTCTTAAGATGTGGTTCTTTGATCATGTTCTCCCATTATTGCTTTTAAAGTCACTTTGTGGTCCCTGCTGGGCCTTTTTACCCAAATGAAATAATTAATAAAATGTTGTGCATGTGACCAAACAAGAGACAGTCTTAACACCTATTTAGTTAAATGTTTCAGCTTATGCCTTCCTCAGTAACACAGCTGGGATTTCAAAGACCCCTGAGAGCCAAGAAGCAAGCCCTCATGAAAAAATACACACATTAGGAGGTTGCAGCACTGTGCTGACCCTGCCCTCTCATGTCCATGTGTGACCCATGGCCAACAGATGTGTGTAGAGCCATGCAGTTAAGGGGGACCTTGGACCAATCAGGATTTCCCCCTTTGCATGTATATGGGCACGGTGGTGTGCACATAGGATATTTTCTCATGCTCTGCAAACATGCAGCCAGTGAACTGTGTGGTTGCCAGGTGTGTTGGCAGTGGTTGCAGAACACAATCCTGCTCCCTCCACCAACACATAAAAAGTGTTCTTGTAAATACCGCCATGTGCCAGGTAATAGTTTTAAGAACATTTGGATATAAGAACTACTTTTAAAAAAATAATAATGCAGCAAACATGCAAGAGAATTTTATTTCCGTAACTTGAAAGCCTGGGTAGAAAATAAGAGTGTTTTATCTTGTATATCAAGTCCACAAGGTTGCTATACATACAATTCCTCTTCCCACCCCATCCCTTTTTCATTTTGTGTGGCATCTGTGAGCAGCCACTGTGTTTTGTTTCTATGGTTTGTATAAGATAGATAGATAGATAGATAGAGATAGATGATACATCCTAACACGCTAAAAACAAAGTATATGCTGGAGAAACAAAGATCCGGAAAACTGCTCCAAATCTTGACAACAGTCAACACACATATAGTGGGACAGAGAGCAAGCCCTGTTGAGAAACTGCATATTCTCTCTTGAACGGGAAGCTAAACAACACTAATGAGAGAGAGAGAGAGAGAGAGAGAGAGAGAGAGGACGGAGGCGTGGTTTTCCCATGAACTGCTTTCCCTCCACTCGATTGCACAGTAGGACTTTTTTTTTCTGGAGTCTTTCCTCCTCCTCCTACCCCCCCTCCCTCTTCCCAGTATGAGAGAGCGTGTATTATGTGCTAGTGTGTGCGTGCGTGCGCACGGTGCAGGAAGCCAGAAGCCCTTTGGCACGTGCTCCCGTGGGCGAGGCAGGAGGAAAGGAAAAGGAGAGCAGGAAGGGCTTGCGCGAGCGAGTCAGTGAGCGCGCGCGCGCGCCCCAATTTGGCTTGCCGGGGAGCCGGGTGGAGGCACGAGAACAGCTGGCGGCTGCTTTAGCCGCTGGGTCCGGGAATGGGGGTGGGGAGGGAGAGACTCTTGATTGACAGCTCCGGGAGTTGCCAGCCAATAAGAGGCAGTTTGGCTTGCAGCCTTTCATCCATTGGCTGCCTGCCTGGCAGGGCTTCGCGTGCCGGACCAGCTGCTGCTGTGGCTTGCTTCATTTTTTTTTATCCCCCCACCCCACCCGCTCGTTTCCCTCCCTTGCTGCTGGAAAGAGAGTGGTTTCTTTTCTTTCATTTGCAACAGCTGGAGGGAGATGCGGGCAAGGTTTTGTCTGGAAGCAGCGGTGGGTTTTTAAATCGTGCATTTAAAAACTATGCAGGTTCTTTTCTCCCCTTCTCTCCTTTCCTGCATGATTTGGTCGCTTTACTGTTGCGCCTTATGGAAAATATGAGTGAGGTAGCAATTTTCTAATGCAAATAATATATAAAAGTATGCAGAGATAAAGGGATTCCAGCTGGAGGCCAAGTACTTGCAGGTTTATCCTTTTAAAAGCGGTCTAGTTGGTGGGTTTTGGGTTTAGACTGCAATCCTAGTACACGCACTGTATCTAAGAGTAAGTCCAATTCACCACAATGAGATTTACTTCTAGGAAGGTAATGCATAGGTTTGCACAGCAAGACAATTGGATGCATCCAGTGCTAGTCCTACTCAGAGTAGACCGATTGAAACTAATGGACCTACGTTAGCCATGTCTATTAATTCCAGTGGGTCAAATTAGTTGGCAGCAACCCAGTGCTCAGTTAATTGCTCAATGCTTATATATATTTTTCTGAAAAAGCAATCTTATTGTTAAAAAAGCAGCAGTGCTGTATATGTAATATATATTCAACCGGATACCCAAATACTTGCAAATATAAATAACATCAAAGCAGGCTAAATTAAAAAGGGAGCGCACTACTTATCCACTCCATCCCCATCCAGCTGTATCTAAACAAGAACCACCCTAGCGAAAAATGAAAAATGAGTACAAAATTTAGCATAGAGGATTAAGGCGGGGATTTTTTCCCCCTTTAAGGAAATTGCAAAAGCAAAAGCCGGGATGAGAATCGTTATCACAAAGGCCGTAACCAGGTAAAAGCACATACATAGCAGCCCAGCTTTTTCTGAAATTCTCAGCATTTGCTTCTCCCTCGCCCCTTCAGTAACAGGGGCTGAGAGTTGTTGTTGTTTTTTAATTCTACCCTCCTTCCCTTGCCATATGTAGCCTACAGCAACTGACCTCCTCAAATATCTGGCCTGAGAACTTTCTCCAGGATTTTCTACGCTGATGGGAAGCGGCTCCCCAAGGGCTTTCCAGGCAGGGGACATTCCCAGCCCTACCTGGAGATGCCGGAGATTGAACCTGGCACCTTCCGCATGCCAAGCAGGTGCTCTGCCAGGGCCTTTCCCCGGGCTGCTGCTGCTGTTGAGTGTCCCTCCAAGCCTCTTTGCACCCCCACCCCCATTTTGCAAGGCAAAACTGGGATTAATGCATTCCTATCACTCCTATTTAAGTTGGGGGGGGTGTTGTATTATAGAAGCCTACCGACTTGCTGTACAGGTTGCCTTGCACACCTGTTTTTGAAGGGGGGAGTGTTGCTGACCCCCCCCCAACACACACACACCTTTGTTCCTTCCAAGCTGCTGGTTTCAATCCAGCCTTGGGAGATATTATATATATATATATATTTGGAAGCTCAGCGCGTGACTGACAGCTCGCGGGGGCGTCCTCCAATCGGCGGCCCCGGCGGGGTGAGTCCCGTCTCCGATTGGCTGCCAGGAGTGTGGGAAAGAATGCGGAGAAGGTTTCACACGAATTGGGAGCTGCCGCCGACTATAAAGGCGGAGGGGGAGTTTCCTCGGAGCCTGCCAAGCCAGCAGCGGCTCTGCAGCAGCACAAGCGCGGCGGAAGAGCGACTAGCCAGGCGCGCTGGTAGCCGCGCGCGCGTTGACGCCTGATTGCAAACACAGACTTTACTCGACCCCCCGCCACCCTTTTCCTTGGTCTTTTGGCCAGCAAACTCTTAAGCTGGGATAAGTAACCATTGCACCGACAGCAGCAACCTTAAATACATTGGCTACCAACATCGGATGTACAGTTTTGTTTTGCTTTTTAAAAACAGTTGATCCAGTCTCCCGCCCCTACTGTAATACTTCCAGCGCTGTTTTGCGACGTCCCCCGATTTTTGTTGTTTTTTTCATTTCTGCATTAAAATCAAGAAACTGCAAAAATGCCGGCTGATACTATGGAGAAGCCTACTGCCTCCCCGATTGCGGGTGCCCCGGCCAGTGCCAGCCAGACCCCCGATAAACCCAAGAGCGCCAGCGAACACAGAAAGGTAATTTCCCTCATCTTCTCCCCACCCCGCAAAAATATATTGATTTGGATTGATTTTTTTTTTAATGTAGCTTGCGTACATGTGTGTGACTGCGCAAATGGATCTCTCCTCTCGCCATCCTTTAGCGAATCTTACTTATTACTCCAAAGCTGTTTACGTACCCCGAATCTCCCCATAAAATGTGGGTGTTTGATCTGCTGGCGTTTTCTATATAGGAAGGACCATCTCCCAAATAAATTACTGTGTGTGTGAAATGAGCATGTGAATATGGTAGCAGCAGGCAAGTGATGTATGTTAGATTTGCGGGGGGGGGGGATTAGCCTTGTGCCTTTGGGGCAGTGCCTTGACAGGTTTGAGTATTATATGGGGAGGGGTGGGGAACAATTTTAGGGCAAAGCTGTGGAACAAAGAATGGGAAGTTACGTTTGTTTACAGAGTTGTTGTGTTGGTATGAGCATGGGGGGGGGCATCTTGAGAAGGCTTGTAGTGGCTGGGATGGGTGTACAATCTGAAAAGGGTCTCAAGTCGACCCAACTACCTGGAGTAGCTTACTAAGTAACTAAAGCTATGCATGTTGCAGTTAGCAGTAGCATTCAAAGTTGTTATTGTGCTCGTAGACAGGAAGAGAGATAAGAGCGCTTATCTGATGCCCACCTAAATTTCTACCACTTCTCTGTGTTCCCCTCAGTCTTCCAAACCAATCATGGAGAAACGACGCCGTGCCAGGATTAACGAAAGCTTGGGCCAGCTCAAGACTCTCATTCTGGATGCTCTGAAGAAAGATGTAAGTTTTGATTCAAGGGGGCAACAGTTATATTTGGAGAATTCCTTTTGGGGGGGGTGAACTGCATGTACCCGAGTTCTCTACCCCACCCTGGAAAGGACCCTTTTGATTCTCCTACTGATATTTAGCTACCTGGTCGACTTATAGCCATTGTGGGAGGGGGAGAGATAAGCGAGAGGCGAATTGGTCCCAGATGGCCAGATGCAGCAAAGTTTTTAAGATATGGGGGAAGGGACTCCTTAGGTTATTATTCCTTGTTGCCTTGCCTCCCACAAATGGAATAAACTTGCTCATCATGCTTGTTTGCTTTCTACAGAGCTCCCGGCACTCAAAGCTGGAGAAAGCAGATATTCTGGAAATGACAGTAAAGCACCTGCGGAACCTGCAAAGGGCCCAGATGACAGGTGAGTGGCAACCTTCCTACCGGCAGATTTGGGTGGGCTGCAAATGGGGTGGGGGGTGGAGATGGGGATTCAATTCGGAACTGAATTGAATGTTTCTCCCTGACTCCTGGCTATCCTGCTTGACAACCTTGCAATCTGATGCACGTAAAATAAAGCCTGGCGATTTGGCTGGCCTCCCTCCTTTCCTGACCCCTTTCCAGTTAATCTGCTTAGCACATTTGTACACATAGAAAGCAGCCTTATGCTGAGTCAGAGCACTGATCCCTGTATCTCAGCACTGTCTACAAGGACAGGCAGCGTCTCTCCAAGCTTTCAGGCAGGGAATCCTTCCCAGCCCTACCTGAGGATGCCATTGAGGGCAGAGTCTGGGACCTTCTACACACAAAACACTACGGCCCTCCTTGGCCCACACACTGCCCTTGCCTCCAGAACATCTGATAGCCCCTTTTTTAAAAAAACAAAAACCCTCACAGCAAACCTGTGAGGTAGGTAGATTGTCTTGGACCACCCAAATGTGTTTTGTGGCTCAGCAAGGATTTTGAACCCCTGCCCTTCCAGTCCTGTATTTCATCACACTCCCCTCCAGAAGGGATTTATCCAAAGCCACACAAGAAGCTTCATGGCTGAGCACCATGAGGGGTTTGAACCCAGCTCTTCCGTCACCAAATCCAGGTTGAGATACCCTGACCTGCAATTCAGCCAATCCCCATAAGCTTAAATGCACAGATATAATTAGCTGTTGAGGAGCAATTTCGGAGCTGGCATGCAGCTGTTCACATAAGAGAGGAAAGGAAAGGAAGCTGCGTCTGCTGAACTCAAAAGGCTTTGAAAGATCCAAGCCGGCTAACCCTTCTCCTCCTTGTCTCTTTCCCCTTCTCTGCAGCAGCCCTGAGTGCTGATCCTACCGTCCTAGGCAAATACCGGGCAGGATTTAACGAGTGCATGAACGAAGTGACTCGCTTCCTGTCCACCTGCGAAGGAGTCAACACGGATGTCCGCGGCCGGCTGCTGGGCCACCTCTCCACCTGCCTGAGTCAGATCGTGGCCATGAATTACCCTGCGCCCCCACCGCCCCCACCACCTCCAGCCGCAAGTGGACAGCCTGCCCATCTGGCTCAACCTCTGCATGTCCAGTTGCCAGGACCTGCTGGAGGACCTGGGGGGATGCCAGTGCCTTGCAAACTGAACCCTGCGGAAACCTTGTCTCCGAAGGTCTACGGGGGCTTTCAGCTGGTGCCGGCAACTGAGGGCCAGTTTGCTTTCCTCATCCCGAACCCCGCCTTCCCGCCTGGCTCAGGGCCAGTGATTCCTCTCTACGCCAACGCAAACATGCCAGTCTCTTCTGGCAGTTCGACAGCAACTCCTTCCGTCTCCCCAGTGCAGGGGCTCACATCCTTCGGGGGAAGCTTAGCGCCAGTCTCCCAAGCTGGTGGGGAGCGCAGTGAAGCTGTCTGGAGGCCTTGGTGATTCTCTCTTCTGAAAGCAGACACCATCTTCTGCTCCCGCTTCCTAACCCCCACCCCTGCACAAAAGGACTTGAATTTGGTTCCGTTGTATGGAACCTGGACTTTGGTTTTTGTGTTAAATGCACCCCACCCCACAAACTCCTTATTTATTCATTTCCAAAGGTTGGGAATTCAGTTTGTATTCTTACACTTTTTTTAATTAAAAAAATTGTTTATGTGAAATACTTTGGTTTGGTTCTGTTTTTTAAAAAGGAAAAGTCTTACAGCACAATCCTATGTGTTCCTACTTTTTAAAAAGAAAAGTATAAAGTCCCATTGATTTCAGAGGACCTTGCTTCCCAGGAAACTGGATATAGGATTACAACATTAGTTCTGTATCAAATATTCCCATACTATGCCAAAGCTTCTTTCTTTTTTTGTGAGTCTGTATGCCTGATGTTTTGGTTTGTTTGTTTTTTAAAAAAATAAAAAATGTTGGAAAGTATTTGTACAAATAAAAATTTTCTTGAACTAGAAATATTGGTGTGTTGTCTGGCAAAGGCTGGTGGTGAAGGTGGGATCAGCTTTCTGAAGAGTCTTTCCATCTCAAGCAAGGAAGAATTAAGGCCTCTTCAGGAGTCCTTTTTATTGTGCATTCATGATAATAGCATGGCAGTTTCACACTATCCCACTTTCAGTACTGTTTGCACCTGCAAAAGACTGAGGGTGGACACTCGGCTTTGTTATCAATCAACACATATCCCATAACTTCCTGCTGAGATCTGGTAACTTTATATCAACAAGTGGTGATGGTGGGTTTATCCAACTCCTGCTGCGTTATAGCACAAGAGTGTTCCTTCAGACAGCAATAATACTGTATCACTGGGGAAGCATCACAGAACAGCTAATGAAGTGGGATGATGGCCACCATTAATCCTCCACTAACACACTATTATTGCATCTGTGACATGTTGCAGATTACTCCAGCAAACTGACAGCAGTCTGTGGGGGCCCTTTGCCTCCAGGTGTGCAGATAGGCAAGTCTCTCTGTATTGATTGTGAAAAATATGATGGTGCTAGGAATCCTGGTCTCTTCCTTCCTGGCTTTGGATGTGCCACAGATACTATGTTGTTTGCATCTGTGTGTTCAGGCATGTGAACGAGTAATTTTCCAAGCCTAGGTCACTCATTTCAGCACCATGGGCAAGTTTTAAAAGTGTGGGATGGAGGAAGGCTAAATAGGACTGCAATGTTTAATACAACCAACTGATCATCTGGGGATGTTTTTGGTTGACTAAAATGTAGCCCTAATTAATGTTACATGGAAAAACACGAGAGACATTACACATACTTCTGTAAATCAAGAAAATTTTTAATTAAAAAATAATAATGTAGCCCTAATTGATGAGGCAGTGGATCTTAAAAGTGTGTGAGAGAGAGGGAGGGTGGGGAATGGCTATGTCTCCAAAAATGATGCCTGCTGTGACATGCCTGCAAACAATATGTTTTGGGTTTTGGTTTTTTGCTTCAGAACTACTGTCTTTAGTCATACAAATCAACTGAAGCCATGGGTGTAGTTAAGGAGGGGCAGGGGGCAGCTCCCAACCCCAATCAAGAAAAACAATAGAAATACTTAACTAACTGACCAATCACATCAGTTCCGCGCCCCCCCAACAAAAGTCCTGCCCCCCCAACAAAAATCTGGGCTACGCCCATGACTGAAACCACAATCTTAAGAAAACTTCCCCGACAGAGTAAGAGTTGACCTCTGAATAAACATGCCCAAAATTGTGTGCTGCACATGTTATATGCTTTTTCTTGTAATGGGGCAACAGCTGGAAGGGTGGAGGAACCCTATAAGCATACTCTTGCAAAGGCTTTGCATGCTAAATATTGCCTCCTATCTCCCCCCGCCATTCTGGAAATGATGTTTCAGAAAGTAAAATTATTCTTATTACGCAACAAAAGATTTTGACAAACCAAACCTTATTTGCTCATGTTTTCTTTCCCACAATTTACAAAGGGTTCAGGGCATATTCCAATATATCCTTACGTAGGTTAGATTGGCAGTGATGTAGCCCTGGGGTAACAAGTCACATTGGGGAATTGAATTTGCAACTTGGTCATCACCCTAACATGCTGTCTGCTTCAGTTCAAACTCTGTGCAAAGAGCCTATTCTGTTCCTCCCAACCTTTGCCAACTATGGATCTCGGGGTAGGTTCTAAGAGAGGGTTGCCATTTATTTTACCCGGGTCTCTTCAGACAAGTGTATGTTCCTACACAGTATTCATTCTTTCTATCCTCCTTTGGTTCCAACACAAGGAATGCAGCCACAGTTATAAGGATTAGCAAAATTACAGAAATTCATATCAGGGAATTAAAAAGTCCCAGCCACTTTTAACACCCACTTCAAATGTAAAGTGAACATGACAGGCCCAAAAGTTATTCTGCAGCTCAGATTTTCATCTGAGCTGGAAAAGAACCCAAGTCCTGCCTCCCACTTGTAAGGCTATGTGAACACCCACACCACCTTCGCTTCCACAGCAATTGGAATGGGTAGAAGGGAGGTTTCTAATTTTCCTTCCCCTCCTCAACACTTAAAATGAGTGTAATGCCGCATGCTAGATAAGGAAGCCAAACCTCCCTCCACTCAACCCTCAGGAGTTGGGCCGGAGAGGTTGGGTGTGTTGGTAGACAGGTAAGCGGGTGGCTGGGAGAGTGGTTTAGAGACTTGCCAGGGCAGGGCTGGGGCACATGTGGTCCTCCAGATGTTGGACTACAACTCCCGTAATCCCTGGCCATCTGGCCATGGTGGCTGGGGCTGACGAGAAGGGAAGTCCAACAGCACCAGAAGGGCCACCTGTGTTAGGGCACTTGCAGGTAATGCCTGAGTCTGAATTTGGGCTGAGCAGTGGACCTGGAATTTAAAACAATCTATTTTTCAAGTTTGGGGTGAAACAGTTTTGTTTTTCTGAGTCTGCCTGGGGGAGTTCTCCTCCTTGGTAATGAAGATTTTGGAACCAATTGCCCACCTTTTCTAGGTCTTGGACCTCTATCATAGTTTTCCTTGAGCTAGTTTACAGGAGTTTCTGTGGTAGTATTTGCAACAGGGGGGAAAGATGTCATGTGTTTACACCTCTGTTGGACCTTTGCCAGCCTTCTATGCTGGGAGCAGGGGGCAAACATGCAAGCCTCTCCCTGTGGTACAGCTTGGGGGCCCTGCATACCTCCGCCTACATCCTGCCTTTTCATGTGGCAGGGAAATTATGGGATGGTCTTTCTAAAGTCTGTTTTCCATGTTTCACGGGCAGGGGGTTGGGTGGAATCTCCTCTGAGAAGTCATTCTCTCTCTCTTTAGAGTGAGCAATTCTGGAGCACAAAACTGGTCACTGCACCCATCTGCCCTTTCCCCAGATGTGCAAGGAATGGATGTAGCTCTTTAGGGTTGGAAGGCAGGCCACAGAGGCACCGGCGTTGTCACTCCAAACGGCTGAGGTCTGGCATTTGGAAAAGAGCCCAGAAACTAAACCCTGGACTAACTAATTCTTCTGTCTGCCTTCGTGGCTTATTCTGTAGCTGGCATTAAGCCAGCAATTTTATTTCCTTAAAAAGAGGTGCTGGGTGATTTTTTTTAAACACACGCACACACATCACGAGGCCATCACACCTTCTGACCCAGAAACTCTGATCCAGCTGAGCAGGAAGAAACTATGACTACTTTTTCTGCAGGAAGATTAAGATATGCAGCATTCTTATTAGCCCAGGCATGTTCCTCTTTGACTGAGCTCTAGCACAAATTATATGTACGGCTGCCAAGTGGCTAGTGGGGGGTGGGGGGAAAGCCCTGATCCACTCTTGCCTCTTTACATAAATATTTGAGTCCCAGGACCAGGTTCACTCAGTGGCATCTAAGGTAGAGCTGGGAAAGATACCTGCCTGAAACCCTGGAGAGTCACTGCCAGATAACATTGAACTAGATGGATCAGACATCTGGCTCAGTATCAGACAGATCCTATATTCCTACAGGGGCTAGTGCAGGGGTCAGCAAACTTTTTAAGCAGGGGGCCGGTCCACTGTCCCTCAGACCTTGTGGGGGGCCAGACTATATTTTTTTGGGGGGGGGGGATGAACGAATTCCTATGCCCCACAAATAACACAGAGATCCATTTTAAATAAAAGCACACATTCTACTCATGTAAAAACACCAGGCAGGCCCCACAAATAACCCAGAGATGCTTTTTAAATAAAAGGGCACATTCTACTCATGTAAAAACACGCTGATTCCTGGACCATCCGCAGGCTGGATTTAGAAGGCGATTGGGCCAGATCCGGCCCCCGGGCCTTAGTTTACCTACCCATGGGGTAGTGCAAAAGCTGGCAACACTAGTGGCTATCTACCAGTTCTTCTGGCAGGGCTCCTGTGCCTCTAACACTTTTCTGACAGGTAGAAATTCAACAGGCAGAGTTCACTCTTCTTTTGTCCTCAGCAGAAAGCTGCAAGGATGTAGGGAAATAATTAACTTGACATAATGGGCCACACTACTTCAGACTGTAGGCGGCGGATATCTCTTCTGGATATTTCTTCAGATGATTGTGGTGTGTGCATGTGTGTGCTTGTGCTTTAATTCTCTGCAAGGAAAAAGCTAGAACATCAGGAGACAGTTTCTGTCTCAGACATCTGCCTGTCATGCTGGTTTTCTGTTTGCAGCAATCAAGGTAGACTGTTGCACTGATAGGGCAGTATTCAGCTAACTTTTACTCAGAGGAGACCCACTGAAATTCATGTGCCTAACTTGGTCACATTCATTAATTGATATCAGTGTGCCTACTCTGAGTAACTCTTAACTGAATACCACCTGCATTTCTCCCACCACCCACCCACCCTCAATTTTATCCAAAACAACCCTGTAAGGTAGCTTAGTCTGAGAGACACCAACTGAGCCCAAGGTCACCTATTGAGCTTCATGGCTGTGTGGGAATTTGAACCTGAGACTCCTGGGTATTATCAACAGCTACTAGCAATGATAACTATGTTTTATATCCGCTGTTGAAGGCAGAATGCCTCTGAATATCAGTTGCTGGAAACCACAGGAAGGGTGAATGTTCTTGCACTTGAGTCCAGCTTTAGGGATTCCCACTAGGGCATCTAAGGCTGGCTACTGTTGGACAAAGACTTGGGAGATCAGGGTTCAAATCCCCACTCAGCCACAAAGCTCACTGGGCGACCTCAGGCCAGTCATTCAGTCTCAGCCTCACAGTGTTGTTGTGAGGACAAAATATGGGAAGAGAAAAAAGAAGCTGGGTACAGTTCAGCCGGTAGAGCATGAGGCTATTGATCGCAGGGTTACGGGTTTGAGCCCCATGTTGAATAAAAGATTCCTGCATTGGGGGGGGTGGACTAGATGTACCTTGGGGGTCCCTTCCAACTCTACAATTCTATGATTTGTAAGTATGTATGCCACCCTGAGCACTTTGGAGGAGGAGAGCTGGGATTTAAATGTAATAAATATATAAATACATACACATATACGT